GGCCATTCGCGAAATATTTTCTGATTTTTTTATTTCAATAGAACTCTTATAGAAACGAATTTTGAGGCATCTTTTGAAACCCTATAATGTCTCAGAATGGGAGGAGGCTAATTATTCATCATTCTTTCATCTCTTTTTACTCAAGAAACTCATGAAGAATTAAAAATCTTGGTGAAACAAGGGAGGAACTCAATTGGATATGATGATTTCACATCTATTATTTCATGTAATTGGTCTTTTCTTACTGAATAATTTTAGGATTTAAACTCTTCTTTTCATGAATTTATATTGAAATCGGTTTAATAATTACTAGATTTTTCATGGATTCAGACATTCTTTTTCCATTGTTTAATCAAACTTTTTATTGAGTTCCATATCTCCCTCACTCAGATCCAGCGTTGCCTCCATAGATGAAGCAAGTGAGTTATGGGCAGAGGTTAAGGATCAGTTTACTCAACAGAATGGACCTAGAATATACAAATTAAAGAAGGCCTTGGCTGATCTGGAACAAGAAGGGGATCCTGTGAGTATGTACTATGGTAAACTGAAAACCATTTGGGATGAACTATCAGTTTATGATCCCATTCCTGAGTGCAGTTGTGGGCAATTGAAAGTGCTGGTGGACAGGCACCAGCGTGATTGTGTGATTAAATTCCTAATGGGACTAAATGAGACTTACGATAACACAATAGCTCAAGTGATGATGCTTGATCCTCTTCCACCAGTGAACAAAGTGTTTTCCTACATACAACAACAGGAAAGGCAAAAACCAGTCACCACTACTGCTGTGAACAATGAATCAATTGCAATGGCAACCAAAAAATGTTATGGAGATACTAGAATCCCTAACTATGGAAGACCGAATTTCACTGGTAAAAAGGACAGAATATATTGTACACATTGTAAAATCCCAGGTCATAGCCTGGATAAATGTTTTAAAATAGGAAACACTGAGCCTCATGTCTGCACACACTGCAATATGATGGGACATACTATGGAGAAATGCTTTAAGTTACATGGTTCTCCCCCAAATCATAAATTATACAAAGGGCAAAGAAGATATGGGAGTTTTGCAAATCAGTCAAGTATGATAGAGGAGGACGGTGATAAACCAGTCTCTTTAACTAAGGGAGAATATCAGGAATTCATTGCTTTACTTCGATCTAAGGATAATCTACAAGCCGACCATTCTGTCAATCATGTGAAGACCATCGATCATTCAAAAGCTAATCCAGAAACTGACTTATCTGGTAATACCATTTGTTTATTTACTTCTATTGGCTTTCCATGGATCATTGATATTAGCGCAATAGATCATATGATCTGTGATGCCAACCTTTTTATCTCCACAAAAGCAAGAGCGACTCTCTCAGTTAAATTACCCACTAGAGAAGTGGTTCCAGCAACATATTCTAGAGAAGTTCAAGTAACAGATTCTATACTCCTGAAGGATGTGTTATATGTTCCTGATTTCCACTTCAACTTGTTATCTGTCAAAAAATTAACACAACAAATTCATTGTTGCCTGATATTTATGTCTACTACTTGCTTTGTACAGAACCTTTTGTCTTGGAGGACGATTGGGAAGGGTGAAGCCTAAAATGTACTATATCGACTCAGATTGAGCAAAATCTCATCTACGAACTTAGTAACCAACCTTTCAACCCTCAATTTTAAACAACATTTTACAGCTACTTCTATTACTAAATCTGATGTTTAGCCACACCTGTGGTATTATCGATTAGGACATCTATGTGATTCCAGAATGAAGTTTATTACTGATGCTTTCGTTATTTCTCATTTCAAGAATGATAATAAATCTCCTTGCATTACCGGTCCATTGGCAAAACAACACAAGAACCCTTTCCCTATTAGTTCACGTAAAACTAAGCAGATTTTTTATGAGATCCATTGTGATATCTAGGGTCCATGCCCCACAATAGCCCACAATGGATCTAAGTACTTTCTTTCAGTGGTAGATGATTTTTCAAGAGCTACTTGGGTGTATTTACTTAAAAGAAAATCTGATGTTTGTCACTCAATCAAGGCTTTTATTCAAATGGTGGAAAATCAATTTCAAATTACAATTAGAACATTGAGAAGTGACAATGGACCTGAAGCTGACTGAATTTTACAATCAAAAAGGAATTATCCACCACAAAAGTTGTGTTGAGACCCCGCAACAAAACGGCATAGTTGAAAGGAAACATCAACATTTATTGAATGTTGCACAAGCCTTGAAATTTCAATCGGGATTGCCACTATTTTACTGTAATGATTTTATTCTCACTACTACATATCTGATAAACAAAGTTCCCACGCCATTATTACAAAACAAATCACCCTTTGAAATCTTGTTCAAGAGTGCACCTACATAGTCTCATCTTAGAATTTTTGGGTGTCTTTGTTTTGCTTCCACCTTAACACATGGAAGAAGAAAATTCGATCCTAGAGGTCGTCGGTGTGTCTTCTTGGGATATCCCTTTGGGATGAAGGGATACAATGGACCTGCAAACGAAAACCATATTTATATCTAGAGATGTTACATTTCATGAAACTTATTTTCCTTATAAAACGACTGAAAACATTGCTGATGATACTAAGTTTTTATTCACTAAACCACTCCCTGACATCACTCATTACATCCATGAACCAACATCTGATGAGTTGCCTGATTTATCCAGTCCCAATGTACCTGATCAAACCATCTCCAATAACCTTAAAATTGATGATGATAATCCTCAACCATCACCTATCATTCGAAAGTCTACAAGAGTCAAGAAAGCACCTCAACACTTACGAGATTTCCACTGTCACCAAGCTACATCAAGTCAACAATCCCAATCCTCCCTCAAAGCAAGGTCTTCAGTCCCTGCAGGTAAGGCTTTCCCACTATCTAATACAATTTCCTACCATAAATTATCACCTCAATTTAAGGCTTTCTCAACCTCTATTTGCACTCAATTTGAACCTAACACTTATCATCAAGCTGTGATTGATCCTAATTGGTGCAAACTAATGGATTCAGAGATAAAGGCCCTTGAGTTAAATAAAACTTGGACCCTCACTGATCTTCTACCTGGAAAGACAGCAATTCGATGTAGATGGGTGTACAAACTAAAATACAATTCGGATGGGAGCATAGAAAGGCACAAAGCAAGGCTTGTGGCCAAAGGATACAACCAAAGGGAAGGAATAGATTACAATGAAACCTTCTCACCTCTTGCAAAGCTTGTAATAGTCAGATATTTGTTGGGAATAGCTGCAGTCAAAAATTGGCACTTAAAGCAATTTGATGTAAGCGATGCCTTCTTACATGGAGACCTATAGGGTTGGGCAAAATATCCGAACCGAACCGAGCGGAGTTTTTAAAATGAAATACCCGAACGGGTATTCGAATCGAGAATCGAATGGTTTGGTTCGATTCTCGGTTCTCGACCAAGAACCGAAGAACCGAATAAGAACCGAATTTTTTTTT